AACCTCATTTTTACCAGTTACTTCCCAGAAATGTCCAAAAACAACACACACATACTTAATTGATTCTCTTTAGTGGCATTTACAGTCACATCTGACTTTTTTTATCTAAAACCATTTGTCATTAAAACACTCAATCACGTTCAGAACTAAATCATTCGTTTTTTAAAAGCACATTTCTTTCTGACACTAAAAAAGCTAATTAAGTTGATGCAATAAGGTGATCAGTAGTGTGAATAAGGTAAATAACTTACAGTTGTGTTGTCAGGTGTTTTCCTTCTGAAAGAGAAATGACATACAATAGTTTTGAGGATCCGGAAAGTTCTTTAAGCACTCGTAGTAACGTTACAAACCCAAAGGAAGTTTCTCTTTAGCAGGGAGGGAGCGGAGAACGTAGGCTACTAAGACCAATTCTTGACTGTAAATATTAATGAAGTAATATTTTTAACGTCCTTTCAATAGCGAAATCTTACTCATAAATATGAATTGAGATTACGTTGCGTTTTTACGTTCTGGGTCACGAAAGCTTATGAATATTGAGAACTAAACATCAAACATAAACAGTTCCGTGAGACTGGCTCCACCCACGAAAAACCCATGAAGTTTTGTTCTGCGCATGCGCAGTAAACACAGCAGTCTCTAAAACCAAAAGTGCATTATTATAAAAGTCATTACGAAAGTCATGATTATAAGGCACTGTTGAGCTTTATCTAAACAAAATCTAAACTTACGTATTCTGCTCGAACAAAACATGATTGTAAATTTTGTTTTTTTTACATAAACCTTCAGAAATCTAATTTGCTAGTTTGGTGTTCAAGAATTAGGGCTAATTGACGAAGAAGAAAATCTTGTTGTTTCTGTTCTAATAGCCCTGGATGCTTTTCTTGTTTTTTTACATCTCATTTCTTGTCTTCATTCTTTGCTCAACTCAAAGGAAATGAAACAAAAGCACACAAGCTTAATAGCAAAGTAAAATGTCCCCCCTTTATTGCATGCTGATGATAAACCGGAGAACTGTGAACCTTCAGACTCACACCAGCACCTAGACATGCAGGTTAAGCAGGGGCACATTAATGCACGGGCTTCAAGGGACTGAACTGAAGCCCAGGGGCCTACACTGGAAAGGGGGCCCACTGGCTGCAGGGAAATTATATTTTTTTGAATAATTATATATATGTGAGTTTGCTGCAGTGACTACAGAGTTCTGTAAACAAACTCACACCCATTTTTAGCGATGCCCTGGTTGTCGTAGCCTATAGTGAATGGCTCAGTTTAGGTTCCCCCCACACAGTTTGTATAGCTCATAGTATTCTTTTCGGACAGATCGGCTCATTGAACCGGTTCTAAAGGCCGATTCATCGGTTCCTGACGTCATCAAGCAATATAAGTCTCTACGCATTTCTTTTCTAAATCAGTGTCATGTTTTATTAATGAAAAATTCAAATAAGTCATTTGTGTCAACACATTGAAACATTCAAAAAATAAAGATATTTGAGTGAAAGCATATTGCTGATTATTGCCATATAATTCACTTAAGTTAATGGTGTTTGTGGTCAGTTTCATTTGCGGATCCTTTATGTCAGATACTGACCAATATTGACTAGCCTACAACTTGGATAAGATTCCTAAAAGTTTCACACATACAGCACACATTACAGACATTGATGCACAAATTCGGATATTTTTTACATATCTACAGTATGAAGAATTAATAAACCAGTTTTAATAAAATGTAAATTAATAACAGTCATAATAAGCATATTTCCAGTATGTGCATCAGGCTTGCACAGTATCGTCAACTCACTCATCAGAATCTTCGGTAATCCTCGGCAAACCTCGGTTCTTTTTTTTTCTTTTCTTTTTTATTATTATTAATGCCAAGGTACCAAATATAAAAATACAGAGAATATCAACATTACATACAAAGAGGTGAAATTTACATGCAAAGCACCATTTATAGATGTATGTAACAATAAATAAATAATACAAAACGAAAGATTTAACAAAATAAATTAAAAAGATGAAATAAATTAACCATTTTAAAAGCCTTGAGATTCTTGGAAGATGAAATAGTTTGGATATACTGTTGAACCTCTTTTTTATAAACAATATATAAAGGATTTTGATTAGTGAATGTACTGTGGTGAATATGAAATTTAGCAAGAAGTAATAATAGGTTAATAATAAAATATTCATTAATTTTATCTTTTTGTATATTAAAGAAGCCAAACAGTACATCCTTAAAAAGCAAAGAGAAACCCTGGAGCACACTGCGATTGATAACATTGGAGAATTCAATCCAAAATAGCTGTGTGTGAGGACAATCCCAAAAGATATGCATATCAGTTTCATTAGGGTCACCACAAAAAGAACAGCTTGTATCTATGTCTGATTTAAACCTTTTCAAAAACACTTTAGCTGGGTAAAATCTGTGTAACAATTTGAATGAGATTTCTCTAACCTTGTTAGTTATGTATTTCGAAGACAGAGTCCATACTTTTTTCCAATCAATATAATCAACCACATTCTTCCGATAAGACATCACATATGGAGTTGTTACAAGCTCCTTTTGAAAAAGCGATCTAATCTTATAGTTACGTGATGAAGGATGTGACAAAAAGCATAGTTTTCCTACTGGGATTTCAAATGGGTCTAAATAAATAGATAAATTGCTGGATGATCTAACAGAGTCCCTTAAAAGCATAACAGCTCCTTTAGGAATAGCGTCCATGACAATGGAGAATTCTTTGGGAGTTACTGGAAAATTAAATTTACATAAGAATTCTTCGTAACTTAAAATAAGACCTTCTAAGCTAAATAACTGGGAAACAGTCAGAATGTTTTTCCTCAACCAACTACTAAAAAATAAAGATTTTCTCTTATATACAATGTCTTGATTGTTCCAAATGAAGTAACGGTGAGGGGAGAAGTTGTGCTTAAAAATGAATGACCATGAAAGTAATGCCTGTTTATGAAATTTAGATCAATTGTAAGGGATTCTAGCAATACTATAATTACAGATCAAAAGGAAAGGGAGACCACCTAATTTGGAAAAGAAGTAATTCGGGATAAAATTCCAGATTGACTTTGGATTACATAAAAACTGTCTAATCCAATTAATTTTGAACGTGTTGTTCAAAGAAGAGAAATCAAGGAAATTCAATCCACCGCAAACGTCGGTTCTTTTTGAGTTGGACGTGCTACTTCGGCTGTGTGTCCTGCGTCATCAACCCGGAACTAAAGTTCGATTCAGTTTGATTTGTGAACCGGCTCGACCGGTTACCTCCTGAGAACCGGCTCAAAAGAACGATTCGTTCAAGAACCGAACATCACTAGTGCTAAGGCCTCCCAGTGTCTTTAAACCAGTTTTTGTGTTGTGTGTTTTGTTGGAGTTCTAATTCTGTTTCTCCTGTGCTTTAGACCTCACTCCACCTGCATTCTGCCTGCCACACCTAATCAACAAACTAGTCTCTCAGCTCTACCAACATACCTCTGGCCTGTTTAGTTTCCTGCACACCTCAGACAATAATCTTCAACAGCAAATGAGAGATGGATTGTGTTGCTTGACTTTTGGCAATAAATACATTTTATTTGCATCATTTATAGTCTGTGTTCTGCTTTTGGGTCCAAAGCTGTGTTTGGTTACAACATGCAGTATCTTGGCCATGTGAAACCTTTGCTGTTTTTGACACCATATGCCATTCTGCTCTGTTGGACAGGCTGCATAATTTGCTGTCTTTCCAGTTGTTTCCAGTCTTATTTAACCAATTGTACCCAGTTTGTTAGCTTGGGTAATCATACATCCGATACCGTGCCTGTTCGACAGGGAGTTTCTCAGGGTTCAGTGTTGGGCCTGATTTTAATTCTGGAGGAACAATTCCACAACGGTGATAAATTTACAGTTTAAACCATGTGAGGACAGAATGATGCAAGACAGTTCTTAATAACTGAACTGGGATGTGGCTCTAATATACTGGTAGTTGAATTCAAAGACTTAACTGTACTTACAATAAAGTAAATTCCAACCATTTCAAAGTTCGGAAAAGTAGTGATTGGAGGATTTAAAGGCTGAATATCCACTATTTCAACCAGGGTGATGGAGATTAAAGAACTGTTAAGAAACGTATAACACTGATCAACAGAGGAGTGAACAATGTCCTTAGCTGGTTTAAGAAGTTTATTAACAGTCCTAGGGCCAGATTTGCTAAACAGGGCAAACTAACGTTAGAGCACAATTCCATAAAAATGAAAAATAACTCAATACGCAAAAATAACGGTGTCCATGTCTTTTCAGCGCTGGCACAAGCTGTTAGTAAATATGTGTCAAATCCAGCACTGTAAACATACCACACACCAGTATGAAAAAATACAGATAATTTCATATATTAATGATTAATTATACATTTTCTTTATATCCCTACCCGTTTTGACTGCAGTCTACAGTGCTTTAAACGGCTACATAGTATTGTTTTTTTACATGATTTAAAAGTATTTGTATCCCACTGCAACATAATCAGTAAAATACACATGAATTATTTAGGGAAATGGAGTTCTTTGGTCAGCATATACACAATACACGGTATCTGTTTTATGCCATCAAACCGTGAAAATATGGAGGAGGATTTAAAGTCCAGCGCCACCTTGTGGTTGACACGTGTCATGATCTGCATGATCTCCAGTCGCCTGCCGTATTTTGACAGCATCTCGCACAATGAAATGATGAACCAGGAACCATTATCAACGTTTCTCCAGGAAAAATAACCTGAGGACAGACAGCAAACAAGATGATTAAAGCAAGTTAATCAGCATATTTTCTATAATTTGGTTCTCGAGAAAGTTTCTTAGAACAGAATATTAGTTACCTGGTGCAGTGGAGTAGACATACAAAAAATCTGCCTCAACGGGAATTTTCTGTGTTTCCTCTTCACTTTCATAGTCGGACTCAATGCCAGCATCCAGACCTGAGCCTCGGCAAGCCTGCATGTAGACACACAGGACAAGCACACTCAAGCATTTGTTTAAGAGCAACTAAAACTATTAATTTAAATGCGTACAATCAAAATTGGCCTTGAAAACATTCATTATGGTTTTGGCGCAGTCTGGAAGCTATAGGCTGTATGATGTATAATTTGCATCTCTGCATATTAGTAAACAAAAGGCTCTACTTCAAAATTAACCACTAAAAACTAAACAGTATAAAATAAACAGTATGTGAGTGTGTGAATATTTTTTTTTCAGTAGCCCTGGATCTTGTTTTTCTGAAATTCAGTAGCCCTGGATGGTGCATTTTCTGAAATTGTTCAAAAACAAAGTATAATCAAATAACCTTGCAAGTTGCTCTTGCCCTGAGACTGGCAAGAGAGCTTCCAAATCCTCAATACTCATCTTGCTGAAGCTGTCTGCTGCTTTTGACAGTTAACCACCAGATCCTCCTGTCCACCATCATGAATATGGGCATCTCAGGAACCGCACTCCAGTGGTTCAAGTCTTACCTCTCAGGTAGGTCTTTCAGGGTGTCTTGGAGGGGCGAGGTTTCTAAGTCACAACTTCTTGCTACTGGGGTTCCTCAGGGCTCAGTGTTTAGACCACTTCTCTTCTCTATCTACATGTCATCATTAGGATCTGTCATTCAGAAACATGGCTTTTCCTGTCACTTCTATGATGATGACACTCAACTCTACTTCTCATTCCAACCAGATGATCTGAAGCAGACATTTCTGGCTGGATGAAGGATTATTGCCTTCAACTCAACCTTGCTGAGACAGAACTGATCGTGATCTCAGCCAACCCAGCACTTCATCACAACTTCTCTATACAGCTAGGTTTGTCAACCATAACTCCTTTCAGGACAGCCAGGAACCTTGGAATTTTGATTTATGATCAGTTAAGCTTCAGACCATATTGCTACAACAGCACAGTCCTGCAGATTTGCCTTATACAACATTAGGAAGATCAGACCCTTCCTATCAGAGCAGACCACACAAATCCTTGTCCAAGCTCTTGTTCTCTCCAGATTGGACTATTGCAATGCTCTATTAGTGAGGCTTCCAGCATGCATCATAGCTCTGCAGCTGATCCACAAGGTAGCAGCTTCAACGAGCTGAACAAAGCCCACATCACACCTCTCTTCATCAGACTGCACTGGTTGCCAATAGCTGCTCGCATCAAATTCAAGGTACTGATGTTTGCCTATAAGACAACCACTGGCTCTGCACCAATATTCCTAAACTCACTAGCTCAGACTTATGCGCCCTCCAGAAGCTTGCATTCTGCATCGCCTTGTGGTGCCATCCCAAAGAAGCACAAAATCACTCTCACAGACGTTTTCCTGGACAGTTCCCAGCTGGTGGAATGGCCTGCCTATCTCAATTCGATCAATTCGATGAGTCTTTAGCAATTAAATAAAAAAACCTCTAAAGATACATCTTTTTCGTCAGCACCTGACCAATTAATACCAACACTATATTCTATTCTATTTGTTTTCATATTAATTTCATATTAATATTAATCCTTGCTATGTGTACTGTGCTAGACTAACTGATACTACTGATATGATAATAGTATATCAATGGTACTAAAAGAACAGCTTTTTGAACACGAAAATACTTTTTTATTATCAATCAGCTCACCTGAATGAAGAAAAGCTTGGGTTTCCCCACCAGAGATTTGCAGCGGTCTCCTCTGAAGAGTGCAAACAGTTCCTTCAGCTCAATACAGTCATCTGTGCCAAATATCCTTCTATCATCTCCATGACTCAGCAACACACACGCAAACATGGCTGATTTACTGTGATCTTCCTTAGACACTGAGGATGAAAGAATATATGAGTTTATGACTGATCAATTCAATAACTGTAACCAATCACTATTCAGGCTCGGTCAGCATCTCGCCATACCTTCAGTTAACAAATCTCTCATCTGTGAGACAGTCTGATCTCTGCAAATTTTGATTTTGAAGCCCAGATTTGAGAAAGTGTCTTTCACATTCTCTTCATCATTTTATGTCCCATTACGAACTTTCAATCCTGTAAAAAAAAAAAAAAAAGTCTTAGTCCAACAAGAACAAACATCTAAACTAATTTGTTTAACTCGTCAGTGTTAGTTCTTACCTGTATTTCTCTGGAAATTCTTGTTGTTGATGATGACACATTGTCCCAGACTAGCGTAGTTCATATTGTATTGAAAAACATCTGAATGTGGTTTGGCATCTGTCTGATCGACTCCAGCATCTGTGAGATACGAACCCCTGTGCAAACAAAGAGATTTTTATGATACATTCATAATTAATGTGGAAATGATCTTCAGAAAGTGGTCATTTAGGGGGTGGTTAGTTAAGGCAAGTTTCTGTGTGAGTTTGTTGTGATTGGAAAAACTAAAAAAATCTGGTAATGAGTGATCCTCAGCTGTTTAGTGTATGGTTAGTTTTTCCTCTTGTGACAAAGTCAGTAAGTGTATGATACCCAGTGTTTTAAAAGTGTGTTCAGAGAAATCAGCCTTACTTGTAGCTGTCTCTTATATATCTTAAACAGCAAAGTAAGAATACTGACAATTTCCTCACCAACAAATACTCTTATGAATGGGTGCTGCCAGAATGAGAGTTCAAAATAACTGATAAAAACATCACAGTAATCCACTTGTAATCCATACGACTCAAGTCCATCAACTAACATCTTGTGAAGCAAAAAGCTGTGCGTATATATGATACAATCCATCAGTTTTTTAATTTTTTACTTTGCTTCTAGCTAAAATATGAGTCCATAATGGATCCGCAACCTATAAAGTCCATCCCATGTTGTCCTCTCACATCAAAATCCACCCACACATTTGTTTAAATTTGGACTGTTTTGTAAATGTTGCATGATCTGTGCACATTTCTCTCCTGATTCAGACAAAATGACTTTTTATTAGAGAAAGCACTATTATGGATGAAGTAAACAATGGTTTCATGGATTAGTTTCTTACAAACACGCTGCTTTTCACCACTTTAACAGCTGTTTTGACTCTCATTCTGACGGCACCCATTCACTGCAGAGGATCCATTGCTGAACAAGTGATGTAATGCCAAATTACTCCAAATTTCTCCAAACAAACTCTATATCTTGGATGACATGAGGGTGAGTAAATTTTCATTTTTGGGGTGAAATAATTAATTTTCATCAAAATCACATACTGTTTGGCATTCACTTGTCTGCCGTCCACAGTGTCTTCACCCCTGGGTCCTCTGTCTGACATGGTCACTAAAGGGAAACACGAACACACACACACAAAATATCTTATCATAAATAATTATTCTTCTGATACATAATGACTCACAGTTGCTTAGGAATTTGTGTTATGCATTTACCCAGACGTACAGTATACTGTATGCTATATACATACATATATATATATAGCAGGGGTGGCGAGCTTCAACCCTAATCAAACACACCTGAACAAGCTAATCAAGGCCTGAAGGGTTACTAGGAAGCTACAGGCAGGTGAGTTTTTATTAGGGTTGGAGCTGAGCTCTGCAGGACTGTGGCTCTCCAGGGCCGGAGTTCGCCAACCCTGGTATATAGTTACATTTTCCCCAAAGCTCTTCTCTTTAAAACAACAGGTGTAACAAGTTCCTCTAAAGAGCCAAAAGATAACTTGTTAACTTCTTTGATGTTTAAAAGCCATAATGATCACATACATCTTGATTTTACAAACATCTAAGAGCTTGTTTACTGAAGGCCTCTCACTTTTGGTCTGTTGCAGAATATATATATATACAGTGGGTACGGAAAGTATTCAGACCCCCTTAAATTTTTCACTCGCAGGTCAGTTTCATTTTACTGGGGCAAGCTCATGACAGCACATTATGAAAGAAAATAATTATGAGTTTTGTTACTCGTCTTTACTTTTATATTACAGATTTTAGTCTATCTCAGCCAGCAGGAAAAAAAAAAACAAGACAAAACCCAATTTTATCCTGTTACTTCACAGATATTTCCATCAGTAATCAGTAATGTGAATAAAGTAAGTAACTTACAACTGTGGTGTCGTCAGATGTTTCTTTCTGGAAGAGAAATTAAAAAAGTAGTTCTGATGAACTGGGAGGTTGTTTAAATACTCGTGGAACGAGAGGCACATTCAAGCTCAAACCGGTGCACAACGTTTTGCTACGGTTTCCAGGTTGAACGACATGTTTCCTGGAAACAGTGTGCAACGGGGTTTGAGATACGTTTTCTCTTGTTTGGTGGGTGTGTCAAAAATGTCAGCCCAATCAGCAGCAACATGTATATAAACCACATGGTATAAAAGAGACAGCTTGCACAATGTAATTAACATCTAAATAAATCCACAAGAGCAAGTTTATTGTTTCCACATGTTTATTTACATTAAAGGCAAAATAACTAAGAGCACAAATATAGATCTGGAACTTCTTTAAGTCTGTCTAAATATCA